TAAATTTTCACTGCTATACACCAATAGGTCAAAGAGTATCCTAACAATGAGCCAAAGTCTATCAGCTTTCGACATATGAATAGTCAAGCAGGAAGTATAGGTATGGTGACCAATAAGGATGATGGGAAGGAGAATGATGGAGTTAGGACTCACCAGCCAGACACTGAGGAAGCAGGAGATTAGCATGCCATGCTAATAAAGGTATTGTCATGTGGCAGAGAGCAAAAAAGAAATATGGGTTAACTTAAAGTGTAAGAGCTAGTAACAAGGTCGAGCTATCGGCTGAGCACTTATAAGAAATATTAAGCCTCTGAATGCTTGGCGGGTAGGAGAGAAACTTCTGCTTACATATATGTATAATATATACATATTATATATGTATATATATACTTAGGCCTAGTAGTATTTATGTGCATATGTACATATATGAAAGTATATATATACACACTATATACTTATACCTATACATATTGTAGATGTATCTACCATATCTCTATTTATATATGTCCATATGTAAATCATATTATATGTATATATATGTGTGTGTATGTGTGTGTATGTATATCTATTGATCTTGCTCCTTTACAGAGCCCTAACTAATATACTGTCCTATTTGTATCCCCTTTATCCACCTCTCTTGTCTTATTCTTATTGCTCAAACTAAGATTCCAAGAATAGGGGGTGCATGAACATCCTTGTCTGTTGTATTACATTTGTGGAAATGCTTCCAGTTTTCTCTGATTAGAATGATGTTGACTGCAGGTTTGTTATTATTACCTTTATTATGTTGATATATATTTGGTAGATTCTCCAGGAATTTTATCGGATGTTGGTTTTATCAAAGGTCTTTTTTGTTTCTAATGAATCAATTATGTGGTTTCCGCCCTTGAGTCTATTTATGTCATAGGTTACATTTATTGATTTACATGTGATGAACACACCTATGTCTTTGGGACGAGGCCAGCTGGGTGGTAATGGATGAACATTTTGGTGTGTTCTTGAATTTGGTTTGTAAGTACTTTATTGTTTTTTTCATCTATGTTCATTAGGGAGATTGGCCTGGATTTACTTTTCCTTCCTTCCTTCCTTCCTTCCTTCCTTCCTTCCTTCCTTCCTTCCTTCCTTCCTTCCTTCCCTTTCTTTTTCCTTCCTTCCTTCCTTCCTTCCTTCCTTCCCTTTCTTTTTTTGGTAAGGGATATTTATCTGGTTTTAGTATACTGTTAATAGTGATTTTATAAAAATAATTTAGTAGTGTTCTTTCTCTTCTATTTTATGGAATGATGTGAGGAGTATTGACATTAGTTTTTCTTTGATGGTCAGGTAACATTCTATGTTGAACCCATCTGGTCTTGGACATTTTTTATCTGGAAATTTTATTATTACTGCTTATATCTTGTTTGCTACTATGGCCCTCTTTATATTATTTTATCATGGCTTAAGTTTGGTAGGTCATATCTATCTAGAAGTTCATCCATTTCTTTTAGATGTTTCTTTTTCGTGGAATATGAATTTTTAATGTCCTCATGATTCTCTGAATTTCCTCATTGTCCGTTGAAATGTCTCCCCCTTCACCTCTAATTTTATTAATTTGGGGTCTTATTTCTCTTTCAGTTGATTAATTTGCAATCCCTAGAAGTTTCTTTGTTTTGAAACAGGTCACAATATGTGCTCTTGACTGGCTTGGGACTCACTATGTAAACCAGGCATGCTTTGAATTCCTAGAAGCCAACCTGCCTCTGTAATCTGAGTGCTGGGGAAGGTGTGCACCACCACACCTGGCTTTCAGTTTTCTTTTGCTTTAAATATAGGCCCTTAGCACTATAAAATTTCTTCTTAGGCTTCCTTTCATTGTGTGCTATAGATTTTAATATATTGTATTTTCATTTTCAATTTTAATAATTTTCAATTTTTCTTCTTGAGTTTTTTTTCTTGACCTAATTATCATTCAATAGTGTATTTACTTTCCATGAGTTTGGTAGAGTTTTTGGGGTCGCTTATGTATACTATCATATCATCTGCAAATAACGAAAGCTTAACTTTTTCCTTGCCAATTCGAATCCCCTTGATCCCCTTATGTTGTCTTATTGCTATTGCTATAACTTCAAGCACTATATTGAAGAGGTATGGAGAGAGTGGACATCCTTGTCGTGTTCCTGATTTTAGTGGGATGGCTTTGAGTTTTTCTTTGTTCAATTTAATGTTAGCTTTCGGCTTGCTGTAAATAGCTTTTATTATATTTAGGTATGACCCTTGTATCCCTAATCTCTCCAAGACCTTTATCATAAAGGGGTGTTGAATTTTGTCGAATGCTTTTTCAGCATCTAATGAAATGATCATATGGTTTTTTTTCTTTCAGTCTATTTATATGGTGGATTACATTGACAGATTTGCGTATGTTGAACCAGCCCTGCATCTCTGGGATTAAGCCTACTTGATCATAATGGATAATTTTTCTAATGCATTCTTGGAGTTTGTGTGATTTTTATTGCTATTGATAGCTAACCTTATTACACTGTGGTTCAATAAAATACAGTATGTTATTTCGATTTTCCTTTTTTAAGACTTGTTAACAACATCTAAAATGTTAATTTTGGAATAATATCCACGGGCTGCTGGAAAGAATATGTAATCTTTAGTCTCTGAGTGTAATATTCTGTAGGAATCTGTTTGGTCTACTTGATTTCTGATATCATTTAAACTCGAGTTTCTCTATTTAGTTTTTGTCTTGATGAACTGTCTGTTGGTGAGAGATGGGTATTGAAGTCACCCACCATGGAAGTATTGGCATTAATCTGTGCTTTTAGATCTAGTGTGTGTTTTATGAAGTTGGGTCTACCTTTGTTTATCCACTCATTTATTTATTGCCCTCTTGTCACATAGTTTTACTTAAATGATATTTTCTTAAAGATAGATAAATTACTTACTATTGCAGATGTATTGTGTGTGTTAGAACCTACTGTGTGTGTTAGAACCTATAGCTTTATATCAGTACATGGCACGCCCACTGAGCTTCGCCGCCAGAATGCAGGTTCACTGCCTATTTGTTTAAGAGATTGGTTTCTTCTGGGCTATCCCATATCACATTTTCATATTTAGTTATGACAAGTTCTAAGGGAAAATATAATTCCCAATTAGAAGTATGCAGTTTTTTATACTTTATTGTTTTAATTTAGTTATACATTTCCCTTCTCCCCCCTCCCCTTTCACCTTCTACCCTGTCCCACATGCTCCAAATTTACTCAGGAGTTCTTACCTGTTTCTCCTCCCTAGGTGGATCCTTCTATTTCTCTCTTAGGGTCTTCTTTCTTGTCTAGGTTCTCTGGGCTAGTTATTTGTTGCTCTCAGTGTCTGAGAAGTACACAGTTTTTTAAAAAAATGACTCTAATAAATGGCAAACTTTGACGGGTTTTTAATTTTAATTAATTAATTTGGTTTTTCGAGACGGGGTTTCTCAGTGTAGCTTTGGAGCCTGTCCTGGAACTAGTTCTTGAAGACCAAGGTGGCCTTGAACTCACAGAGATCTGTCTGCCTCTGTCTCCAAGTGCTGGGATTAAAGGTGTGCATCACCACAGCTTAGCTTTAATTTTTATTTTTTGAGACAGCCCTAGCTGTCCTGGAACCACTCTCTAGATCAGGTTGGTCTTTAACTCACAGTCATCTGTCTGCTTCTGCCTCCCAAGTCCTGGGGTGTGAACCTCCAATGCCCAGAAGTTAAAAATTTAAGCTTAAAAAAAG